CAGCACATGGTCATCTGGTCAAAGCCAAGAGGTGTACTTTTATCCATGAATGAATAAGGCTGTTAGTTCTGTGAGGAACTGACCATTTCATCAGCAGTGGAAATTTGGAGCAGTGCCCTCTATAAAGAAACAAAAGGTAGATTCCAGGGGTCATTTGTTGAAAAGAAACTGCATATTACTCACAGTGATGTCAAACTGCTCTAGGGAGGCAAACAGAAATAGCGCAGTGAAAACAAAGTCTTGGGTATCGAAATGATGTTATGCTGCAAACTAACACTATAATATGTTAACATTGTTTTGGTATCATAACGGCTAACTTTTTATTTTTTTTATCATATTGATTGATAATGGATATATGTGACCCGTGCTGGCAAAATGAGTCTGAATGCGTGAATGAATGAATCTAATATTGAGCTATAGGCAAAAGAGGTGAAAAATGTCAGTTTTGGTCGAATTGAGGTTTTCACAAAAATGAGTTCATTAAGCCCTCTTCTAGTGATCTCAATGCTTCAAATAGTGATCTTTATTTATACGTCCAAAATGATCTTTATTTATACGATTTCTGAGAGGAGTACCTTTTTCTCTGCTCACTTCTGGACGACTGCTGCTGCTTCTCACCACAAGTTGTAGGATATATCGTTACAAAGCGCAGCATTCCAGCTTTATGAATATTCATAGCGAATTCTGTATGACATGAGTCTGAACCAGTAAAATATGATTTTCAAACCCATACTGACATTTGCACGATCTCCCTATAAAGTACATTATTGCGAAATATATCTTGGCGAGATTCACACTGTTATGTCTTACATGAACGTTTAGTTAATGGTTGGGGAAAAATCTGATGTGTAACATTATATTAGATCCATGCATTACAGTAGGTCACAATATTGATCTGTCTCGATGTTAATCGAACATTAAAAGAAAAGAGGGAATCATTCGCTACTCTTGATTAAACTACAGTTTATTTGCATCTTTGCATCTTATTTTTAAAAACAAAGATAAAAAAAACAGCTATATTGTGATTAATATAGTAATTATTATTAAGAAAAGAATTGGAGGAAAATATGCAAGGTTGCTCTGTGATTTTGCTTTGGAACCTTCAGAAAACTTAAACTCGATTATTCCTCAATATTGACTTTGCTGACTCTATCGCCTTCAAACGGCGGTAGCTCAGTCAGTTTTTGCCCGATTCCAACAAGTTATATATCATTGTTATTTTAATGTAGAATGTGAAAATGAAGAGAACTAATTTTTGAAAATTTGCTCATTCCGACTCATTTTGCCAGCACGGTTCACGTATATCTGTTGTTATTGTATATTTAATTGTACATTTCCTTATTTTTATTTCATTTCATGTATATTTTATTTAGATGTAAACACTGTTTAATGGGATCTTTAGTAAATCTCAAAATGAATATCCATTTCATTAGGTTACATGAAGTACATTTGTAGCATTTAGTTTAGTTTAAAAAAAAACTTAAACTCGATTATTCCTCAATATTGACTTTGCTGACTCTATCGCCTTCAAACGGCGGTAGCTCAGTCAGTTTTTGCCCGATTCCAACAAGTTATATATCATTGTTATTTTAATGTAGAATGTGAAAATGAAGAGAACTAATTTTTGAAAATTTGCTCATTCCGACTCATTTTGCCAGCACGGTTCACGTATATCTGTTGTTATTGTATATTTAATTGTACATTTCCTTATTTTTATTTCATTTCATTTATATTTTATTTAGATGTAAACACTGTTTAATGGGATCTTTAGTAAATCTCAAAATGAATATCCATTTCATTAGGTTACATGAAGTACATTTGTAGCATTTAGTTTAGTTTAAAATTTTTTTTCTTTTTTTCTTTAACTTTTAACCTAAGAATTTATGAGGGTAAGGATTAAAAGTATATATTTCTAAAATAAAAACATAATAATACGATAATTGAAAACAATTGAGAATAAAATCTCTATAAAATACAATTAATTTAAAACTACATATAGAATTTTTTATTTATTATTTATTATTTTATATATTATATATTTTATTTTGTCCCCAAAGTAAAGTGAACCCAAACACATCTCACTCTCTACTTTAAAACGTATTCAATTTTGGTGGGAACAGGGTCCAAGAAGTTAATATCCTGTCTTTTGTTTGTTCTTATCTCTATTAGCAGCACTTTTTATTTTTATTTTTATAGTTTTACAGGTGAGCTGAAGAAGCTGTGTCCACAGTATTGTGAAATAAACAGATTTTTTTGTGACTAGAGAGCACTGGCGAACCACCTAAAGGAAATGGCTTTTGCTCGATTTTGTCATTAGTTATCACCTACTCCATTTTCCACAGTATTTGTCTCTCATTTTCTCTCTCCCCTCGTATCCCTATTGAATTCTTGGCCTGCAGGAGTGTCATCGTGGCAGCAGTATCAGTTGTAATTGAAATCACATGTGGATCATCTGTCACTATGGTGCTATTATGATTGATCAGGTTTTATAAAGATATGCAGAAGGTGTTTATAAAGATAAACCAGATGTTTGTCAAAGAGTGTCCTTAATACATTTGTTCCCCTTGAGACCTCATGCACTTGCTTTTCTTGCTTTTCACTCATGTTTTTCTGAGAGAACTGTTACTTTGTTGATTCTCATTCTGATTGTACACTGAAGACAGTTGTGTGATTGACATGGGCCAGAGAGAAAATCTTGCTTCTTGGGAAGAGGGGTGTGTGTGTACATGTTTTTCTATACTGGTGGGGACTTAAACCTGAATACACACCAACTCATGGGGACTTGTGTCACCGTTGGGACCTAAATTGAGGTCCCCATGGGTACAATAGCTTATAAATCATACAGAATGAGTTTTTTTGAGATTGTAAAAATGCAGAAAGTTTTCTGTGAGGGGTAGGTTTAGGTGTAGGGCAATAGAAAATACAGTTTGTACAGTATAAAACCCATTACACCTATGGAGAGTAGGGCTGTGCGATATTGAAGAAAAACCTTGTTTTTTTTAACCTTGTTAAAAAATGCGATATTCGATATGCGATACGACATTGCTTAAAGTGTGTCAAATCTATTTAAAGGATATTTTAAAATATTTAAAAATGAAAATTATATAACCAATTTGTTTCACATTCTTTCTTGGAAAATAAAGAATCACTATAACTTCTGAAAGTGACCAGCAGTGTTTTAGCATTGCTTAAAAAGTAATGTCACAAATCAGAAAATGTAATTTAAACATCAGTGTGAACATACAAACAAAAAAATTAATGACACTAATTTTATATCATTGTAACTTTGCTTTCCACACACTTTAAGTACTACTTCATATACCACAGCAAAAACTATAGTCTGAGAAGTGAACAGTCGGTAAAAAAAAAGAGAGAAAAAAGAAATACACAACTTACAAGCATAGATAAAATAAACAGTAGTATTCAGGTACAGAAATGTAATAATTAAGTGTAAAATAACACTGCATAGTGTTCACTGTATGAATTAAATTTAGATTAATCTTTGTTATAGCCGTTTTGTTGTTTGATTAACATTAGTTACATATTCAGCAGCACGTATTTATAGGCTGCTGTCCCTTTAAAACCGACTGCACGGATCCAGTATAATGATACACATCCGATTTCTTTCTCAGCTGTTTACATTCATTTAAAACATAACTGACTGCGTTTACGAGAATGATCGTCGAGACGGGTACTATTGACAATTCTGTGTGAATGTGTCTGTTCAAACATAAGGAGGAGATGCGAAAGACGAATCAACTCGGTCTGAAACACGTCTCTCTGTGTGTGTGTGTGCTATGCACGTGTGCAGAAGAACTGAAGAGTTGCGATATGCATATTGCGATATTTACATTTGCGATATTTCAATAATTTCGATATGTCGTGCAGCCCTAATGGAGAGTTCCTACAAGGATAGTGAACCAGACATGTGTGTGTGTGTGTGTGTGTTTTTCCTCCCGTCTTTCATTCATTCCAGATGTGTGCCATTTCTCTCACACTTCCTTTTTCTTATCTTTGTCTTTTTCCCCTCCCACATCCCATCTCCATCTGTACATAGACACATGCTATATTATTGTAGGTGTGTGTTGGTGTTAACATGTCAGAGAGCATTGATGGCCAATGTATTAGACTGAACGATTGTACAAGAGGGGGAAATAAAACGTTCGAGCTTGTTGGGTCTTCGAACACGTAGATCAGTCTCATATTTTCTTTGACACAACCTCACCTTCTATTACTCTTTTTCCTGTTCTGTCAGTGCATCTCATCTATAGCTCTCTCCCCTTGTTTTCACCTATAAAAGAGTCTAAAGCAGTAGAAATAGGTGTTGTGGAATGGCACAGACTTGGCCAGTGGTTTACGAGGCTATAAATGTATGAGATTGTCATGTGAAGATAACTCCACTTTTTATTTCTATATATCTGGTCTGCCTTAGTATCATGTAACCAGACCATTAAACAACTGAAATCGTAATTCTATTCTATTCTATTCATTTTATAAAAATAAATGTATACTATTTATATTTATTATACACGATGGTTGATGATTATTTAAACATTTTTAATTAAAATTGTTTAAATATTTATTTTAAGTTCTTTTATTTGATCACTTGTCTTGTCCGTCATGACAGTCTCGATTGGTTCTGGGCAGGCTGTGAATGTCCCTTAAAATCTTTAGGACTGATTTCACTTTTTGAAGAAAAACTTTTTTTTATTTTTCCATCTTTATTAAATATTAATTTGAAACTTACAGGAACCAGGAGCTGGTTAATGTCTCCTGTCAGTGGTTCTGCAGCAAGCAGACTAAATAACTTAAACATCTGCAGATGGAAAACATTTGTGTGTGTGTGTGTGCGCACGCACCTGTGGGATAATGAATTAACCTGCTGCACTAGCTGGTGGCGCGATGCCCAGGTGGTGCCATGTAGTGATCATATACTCATCGTTCAGTCAGGTGATGATGGTTGTAACAAACACATTTCCTCTGTGTTTTTCGTTCTACAGTTGAGGTACCAGCATGGGCTCTCTACCCCAGATCTACGTCAGACTTTACCCAATCTGAAGAACTTCCTAGAGCATGGACTACTTGTACGATGGTGAGTTTTGACATTCATTATTGCTTAAGGAATGTACATGAATGTTACCTCAAATTGGGATCAGACTAATTTTTTTTTTTGTGGTGGTGGGTGATAAAATGGGCAAAAAAAAAATCTATAGACTTACATTGAACGATGGACACAAGCCATATCCAAGGACCAAAGTGTATAAAGTGGGCTCTTTTAACTTGGGCCAAGCAGTAACCACCGAGCAACTACCCAGAACATCACAAGAAATATAGTGTATAGTCATATTTTCCTAAGAAAATTAAAAATATTAGTTATATTCATATTTATTTAAAAAAAAAATTTAAATCTGGTTTTTATTAATGTTTAGCAAGAAATTATATTTACGGTACAATTATATTCTCACACAGTTACATCATTGTAGCATTAGTTTAGAGTAGCTTACAAAATCCAGTGTCTGTTGATATGCACAACGATAAACCACTATATTAACCTAGCCAACTTTTGAAAGAAACAAAATTATCAGTTTTACATCAGTGATGGTAAAAATTCCCAATTGTATTCCTTTGGAAACCAATGGCAGTCAAAAACATACTGTTAAAGAAAGCCTCCTTTTGATCTTTCCAGCTTTTTCTTGGTTCAGCCAGGCAAACATCTATCTGAATGTTAATTTAATAATCTGTGTTTTGAAAGGAAGGAGGCCAGGGTAAGTAAAACTCTTCAGCGTCCCCCCAGTAATGTTTAATGGATTGTGGAAATGCTTAAGAGGGAACAGATGAAAGTCTGACCTTTTGACCTCTTGAACCGTAAACAGTAGTATTCAGGTACAGAAATGTAATAATTAAGTGTAAAATAACACTGCATAGTGTTCACTGTATGAATTAAATTTAGATTAATCTTTGTTATAGCCGTTTTGTTGTTTGATTAACATTAGTTACATATTCAGCAGCACGTATTTATAGGCTGCTGTCCCTTTAAAACCGACTGCACGGATCCAGTATAATGATACACATCCGATTTCTTTCTCAGCTGTTTACATTCATTTAAAACATAACTGACTGCGTTTACGAGAATGATCGTCGAGACGGGTACTATTGACAATTCTGTGTGAATGTGTCTGTTCAAACATAAGGAGGAGATGCGAAAGACGAATCAACTCGGTCTGAAACACGTCTCTCTGTGTGTGTGTGTGCTATGCACGTGTGCAGAAGAACTGAAGAGTTGCGATATGCATATTGCGATATTTACATTTGCGATATTTCAATAATTTCGATATGTCGTGCAGCCCTAATGGAGAGTTCCTACAAGGATAGTGAACCAGACATGTGTGTGTGTGTGTGTGTGTTTTTCCTCCCGTCTTTCATTCATTCCAGATGTGTGCCATTTCTCTCACACTTCCTTTTTCTTATCTTTGTCTTTTTCCCCTCCCACATCCCATCTCCATCTGTACATAGACACATGCTATATTATTGTAGGTGTGTGTTGGTGTTAACATGTCAGAGAGCATTGATGGCCAATGTATTAGACTGAACGATTGTACAAGAGGGGGAAATAAAACGTTCGAGCTTGTTGGGTCTTCGAACACGTAGATCAGTCTCATATTTTCTTTGACACAACCTCACCTTCTATTACTCTTTTTCCTGTTCTGTCAGTGCATCTCATCTATAGCTCTCTCCCCTTGTTTTCACCTATAAAAGAGTCTAAAGCAGTAGAAATAGGTGTTGTGGAATGGCACAGACTTGGCCAGTGGTTTACGAGGCTATAAATGTATGAGATTGTCATGTGAAGATAACTCCACTTTTTATTTCTATATATCTGGTCTGCCTTAGTATCATGTAACCAGACCATTAAACAACTGAAATCGTAATTCTATTCTATTCTATTCATTTTATAAAAATAAATGTATACTATTTATATTTATTATACACGATGGTTGATGATTATTTAAACATTTTTAATTAAAATTGTTTAAATATTTATTTTAAGTTCTTTTATTTGATCACTTGTCTTGTCCGTCATGACAGTCTCGATTGGTTCTGGGCAGGCTGTGAATGTCCCTTAAAATCTTTAGGACTGATTTCACTTTTTGAAGAAAAACTTTTTTTTATTTTTCCATCTTTATTAAATATTAATTTGAAACTTACAGGAACCAGGAGCTGGTTAATGTCTCCTGTCAGTGGTTCTGCAGCAAGCAGACTAAATAACTTAAACATCTGCAGATGGAAAACATTTGTGTGTGTGTGTGTGCGCACGCACCTGTGGGATAATGAATTAACCTGCTGCACTAGCTGGTGGCGCGATGCCCAGGTGGTGCCATGTAGTGATCATATACTCATCGTTCAGTCAGGTGATGATGGTTGTAACAAACACATTTCCTCTGTGTTTTTCGTTCTACAGTTGAGGTACCAGCATGGGCTCTCTACCCCAGATCTACGTCAGACTTTACCCAATCTGAAGAACTTCCTAGAGCATGGACTACTTGTACGATGGTGAGTTTTGACATTCATTATTGCTTAAGGAATGTACATGAATGTTACCTCAAATTGGGATCAGACTAATTTTTTTTTTTGTGGTGGTGGGTGATAAAATGGGCAAAAAAAAAATCTATAGACTTACATTGAACGATGGACACAAGCCATATCCAAGGACCAAAGTGTATAAAGTGGGCTCTTTTAACTTGGGCCAAGCAGTAACCACCGAGCAACTACCCAGAACATCACAAGAAATATAGTGTATAGTCATATTTTCCTAAGAAAATTAAAAATATTAGTTATATTCATATTTATTTAAAAAAAAAATTTAAATCTGGTTTTTATTAATGTTTAGCAAGAAATTATATTTACGGTACAATTATATTCTCACACAGTTACATCATTGTAGCATTAGTTTAGAGTAGCTTACAAAATCCAGTGTCTGTTGATATGCACAACGATAAACCACTATATTAACCTAGCCAACTTTTGAAAGAAACAAAATTATCAGTTTTACATCAGTGATGGTAAAAATTCCCAATTGTATTCCTTTGGAAACCAATGGCAGTCAAAAACATACTGTTAAAGAAAGCCTCCTTTTGATCTTTCCAGCTTTTTCTTGGTTCAGCCAGGCAAACATCTATCTGAATGTTAATTTAATAATCTGTGTTTTGAAAGGAAGGAGGCCAGGGTAAGTAAAACTCTTCAGCGTCCCCCCAGTAATGTTTAATGGATTGTGGAAATGCTTAAGATGGAACAGATGAAAGTCTGACCTTTTGACCTCTTGAACCGTACAGAGTGGCAGGAAGTAGAGGAGGAAGTGGAAGTCCGGCGAACCGGCGGTTGCGCTGCATGGCTAAACAGACCCGGAGGGCGGTGGTGTTGACTCGACCATACACTTAGAACCGTGAAAGAGCAGTTTCCGCCTCCCCTGGGGAGAGGGGGACCGTATACACAAACACAAAACTGCAGAACATTCCTTCCGACATCTTCGTCATACAGTTCCACAGCCGTAAACGATAACTTACAGCACATTGAGACCCTCCAAGAGTCAAGTTACTTTATACAGAGTGGGTGTCTGCTAGCGTTGACTCCTGAGCGAGTCAAACAGGCGGTCTAGACTCGTTCTCCAGCGCGGGAAGCAACTCTCTGGATCCAGAGCTGAAATGTGAAATATAGAGTAAATGGATTCTTTTATTTTCCATTTGTTGCAAACTGCTTTTATTACCCTTGCATCCACTTCCTCTCCTACACTCCCTCTCCTCTCAGTTTAGATAATGTTTCCAGGGCAGGGGCCAGAGATATGAATTATCGGTGCATAAAAATCTGCATCAGGGCAGCTGCAGGAGTTCCTCAGAGGGAAAAAGAAAAGGACGGGAATACCAGAGAAAGCACATGAAGAAATGTTTAAGTAGGAACACTGCACAGATTTACCATGGGAACTTCTGCTGCCATTCTGCAGATTCATAGGAGCATATGTTGGAGAATTATTTTTATTTATTTATTTATTATTTATTTATTTTGCCCTTCTTCTTCAATTTCAATGGATGTTTATATGGGAAATGGAGATGGCAGTGTTTTTGAGACTGGCTTAATGAAATAGTTTGATCTGTTCAATTAGTTATAAAAGTTTGCAGTTTCACCCTCTGTGTGTGTGTGTTCAGGAGTTTTGTACGTCTTGCAACCAAATTTCTGAATGGGTTATTCATATTTGATTGTTTAGCAGAACCGTTGGCTGGACTCAGCATGCGTTTCAGCTCGATTTACAGACTGGACGATAAAGTAAAGATCTTTTTTCATGTGAAAACTACCTGGTTCCTAGTTTTTCAGAATTCTTTCAAGAATACACAATAACACTGACCCATGATCATTTCCATTACAACATTATTGGTTATTCCAGAGACTATTAACCTTTTTCGGCATATTTATTTTGATCAGAACCTAAGTAAATTGGGTTGTGAGAGGAAATAAAAAGTTTACAGTGACAAGTGACTGTTTTGTATCTCTGTGTCAATCTTTTAGCCTACTGGCCTAAGATAATGTTGTCTAGGACCTTGATGCTGCATTCCAAATCAGAATGTTGGAATTTCCAACTTCATATTTGGAAAAATTTTGTTAAATTCCATTTGAATTAGAATTTTTATCAACTAGGAAACAAATTTTGCACAGTTAATGATAAAAATAAAATAAAATGCATAAATTACTCAAAGTTCTTACAATTTTGCAGACAGAATTTAAAACACTGTAAAGTATGCACTTTTGATAGACCTACAGTTTGGTTACTGGAAAATGTCTAATGTTAACAATGCTGATTTGTTACACCAGGAATATCAGGAATATAAGCAATATAAGCAGAATATAAACTTGAATGGAAAACAGCACGAGTACAACAAATTGACCGGACTGTACTTCTGTCCCTCAGAGTCTCATTTTTGTTTGCTAAAGTCTTTTAGAAAGCCCATGCAGAAACTGTGGAGTTGGCATTTTCTGCACTGATTTTGAGGGAAAATGTAGAACTTTGAAAGAAGTTTCAAATCTGTTACGCTTTCAGTGGGTGTAGATTGTATGCAGACTGTGCCGTATCATTTAGTAGTGATTAAAATGTTAACATGGCAGAGTCCTGTCGAACAAACTCAATCTGCTTATCTCACATCTCTGAGCTTTTCACCATCCTGTTGCTTTTTCTCATTCAAACACTGATTGGTAGTTAGTTTCAGTCTTCACTGCCTTAATCTGGAGCTATAATCACTCTCATGCATTCTGGTGGGTTTCCTCTGCATGTCAGAGTGGGAACAGTCTGAGACGCCAAATGTGGAAGAAGACCAAAATGATGAGAGAAAAAGTCACAGTTTAGAGCAGTGGATGGAGTCTAAGAAGTAACAGAGAGTGAAGATGGTGAAAGGCAGACAGGGGGTGCAAGACATGGTGCCGCTGTGTTAATTATGTGTCCTGCCGAGTTCAAACCGAATATGCGAAACATTCTCTTATTTGTGGCACAGGCAGCGTTTTAGAGGTGCTGCAGCCCCACTGTGGAGCTCTTGAGAGCGGGTAAAGACGTGGAAGTGGAGGGGCTGATGAGACTCAACACCCCAGGATGGAAACTCAAGGGTGGGGTTGGAAGTTCTGAAGAATCCCTTGGAACCCCTGTGAAAGTGCAACACTAACAAACCATAAATCTTCATCTTTTTATCTTTTACTTCAACATTTCTCATTTTTTCATCAGTTTTATTTAAATCTAAACACAATTTAGCCTATAGCCCTGGCTCAAATTCCCAAACTCCACCCACCTACAGTAAGTTCTGTAACTTAGCACCATATTTGGAAAGATTCAGGTGGATTCTTTTCCATCTCTTCAGGAACATGATTCATCAGGCAACTATTTTATTATACGTCTTCACAACAAGCCTTTGCTAATCCAGTATATAAATGGCTGTCAGATAGTTTGAAGGAAGGCCTGATTCATAACAAACAGTGTTTTTGGATCTCCACCCATATAGTAATCCCGTAATCCTTAGAAATAATGGGCCTTTCGATGTTAAAGTACCTTCTCTTATGCCAGTTTAATGTGCAAAGACAACTATAAGTAAGCCATTCTTGGTTGTTTTCTTAAAAAACTGTAAACACAGAGAAACAAAGGTGTCTCAAATGCAGCATAAATTCTATACAGTGTACACACACATATATTTTACATGTATTGAATCAGAGCGAGGAACTCTCAGAACTCAGATTTGCACAGTGGGATGAAGCTGTCTATGTGGATTGATAGGTGTTTGTACTCGCATCTGGTGGAACGTTCCTCCAAAATTCCATCAGTGTTCCTCCAATGCTCCTCTGTTCTTTACAATCACACAGCCATCCCACCAAAAAAACATTCAGATTACAGAACCCAAAGCAGACCCTGGTTGCCATGACGCCTCATTCTTAGGTGCCGGAAACAGTCCCACATGTGTGATCATTGCTGTCATTGTACATTTTTATGAAGGTTGTCAGTGGGACGTAAACAGTGTGAGGCTTTGAAGCATTATTACTGGTGCATGTCCAGAACGGGAATACAGGAAACAATTTGTCACCCCCATAAACAATGCATTTTTATGTCAATAGGTAAATTAGCGCACAGGCATTTATGCGAATGCAGGCCAGCCCTTCTATAATCTGAAAAAGATGCGTCTCTCAGTTTCTTGGATCTAAAAACAACAACAGAAAATGTCATATTTCATTTTCCTAGTAATATCCTCAAATGAACGAAGGAATGCATGCTGAGCTTACTTGCAGCGTAAATGGTATAACTTGCAAATGTTGCAAAGTATTTTAATGTAATTTCTATTAATTGTAATTAGTCATTTTGATTACAATATCAAGGAAAATAAATATTTGCAATTGTAAATAATATTATTATAATTACATAATTGCCAAGTATAATAATTGACAATTATATATTATTCTATAATAATATAACTTTTGTAATTATAATTTTTAATTAATTTAATTGTTTTGTATTTATTAATATATTTATATATAATGATTATAAATATATATGACCGCATGTATTTGTTAGTATGACATTATGCAAAAATATTTTCAGGGCTGTTAACATAATTAAGTATATCCATGTCCGTAGGAGAGGTGTAAGGTCTTAAGCAAACATCATTCAAACTATCTTTACTGTCATCCTGCATTTACTTTTGCTTTTCGCTCAACCGTGCAGAATTTGTGGTCTCCCGAATTCCTCCTGGGTAGTTTGAATCTGTTTCTTGTTCCAGACTCCGTTTCACAAGAATACTCACCTCTGCCGCCGTTATTCTTCCACAGCCCCCTCCGGTTCGCTCCCATCCCCACACAGGACGGCCCGAGACACGTTCCCTCTCCCTGCCAATGCTCTGCTCTTGGAAGGAGGGGTGGGGACAGCCTAATTGGCCCATGTTAAGAGCCAAGTTTAAGTCCACCAGAGAAAATATGCTGCATAAAAAATATTATGACAGTTCTGGGAGATCAATCTGGCATGCTTGAGCGCAAATTCCCCCCTCTTCTTCTCTCTGGACTCTGTCGCACATGCATGCTCGAGCCCCGCGCCATCTACCAGCACACACCGGCCACTTGCTCTTGATTAAGGGTTGCGGTCTGACACATGTTTAGAGGAACTCATTTATAAGGGGAAGCACAGTGTAACAAATAGCCTCCTGTTCCAAACAAAAAATGCTTTATTTTTCCCTGCTAGGGGTATGACGTCTAAACACTTGGCTAGATGGAGTCCATATGTTTTACATAACACATGCATAAGTTGGTGTTTGTGGCCGTTAGACTTTTTGAGGGCTGATAACATTTTAATACAGGTATATCCATTTTTTTATTATCCGTAATCATACAGTACAATAAATGATATTAGTCTGAGAGATGGGAGTTCAAGGCCTCATTTCTACAATCAGAGGTCTTCATTAGTCAACCGTAGCAACATGATTTTGAAAGCCACCATAATGCTTTGCAGTTACATCTGACTGCTGTTTTGAAATGTTATGGTTTTGCTCACAGTAAAATTTCAATTGGAACGTCTCTCCCAATTTCACATCTGAAAACTGGATCTAATTACGTGCCGAACGGTCTGAGCACAAGAAGAATAATTTGGGAAATCGAATATACAGTACACGCCACGCTATGGCCAACCATTAGATGTTTGCTTTCAGTGAACTGATGAGGAATTTGGGAGCATGTTTCTTTGCTTATTCTTGGTAATGAAATTCATCACTGCGGTCGGACAGCATTAAAGCTGCTATGTAGCAATGCAGCCTGTCCAGACAAACAGGAATTAAACCGCATATCTCTACCACACATACTGTATGACTTTGAGTGAATATCCTCACTGCCGTATTGAAGACACAAAAACATATGGATGGACCGTAGCTTACATTGTATACTCTGTATACAGTTTACTATTTAAAAAAAAAACAATTTAAAGGACAGACTATACAACCATACACATTTTTGACAGTAGTATGCTATATTGTTGTCACAATATCTCATTACTGTATGTTTCAATGAGTGGCATCCAGTTATCATCTCGGAAATAAAGCTATTTTAAACATTTTAAATCCAGTTTTGCATAAAAATAACATGATCAAATGCAAATGATGAGTAAAAAAAGATTTTGTGGCCGATATTTGTTCCAGTTTATTTCTCACATGGAAATGGAAAGTTAAGTTAAATACTTTTAAAGGTACTTTGACTTTGTTTTCTGAAGGTACAGATTTTCATTATCATTTTTTAAAAGACAGTTTACTCACCAAGGCTGCATTTATTTGATCAAATGTTTAGGAAAATCAAGTATATTGTGAAATATTATTACAATTGAAAATATCTGTTTTCTAATTTAATGTATTTTAATATGTAATTTATTTCTGTGATGCAAGGCTGAATTTTCAGCAGACATTAAGTCTCCAGTCTTCAGTGTCACATGATCCTTCAGCAATTATTCTAATATGCCGTTTTATATTTATATATATAACAGTTTATATTATTAATGTTGAAAACAGTTGTGCTACTTAATATCTACATGGAAAATGTGTATATTTTTTTTTAAGTTCAAAAGAACAGCATTTATTTGGTATTTTTTCAATTTCATGTCAATTTTGATCCATTTATTGCATCCTAGCTAAAAGTAAAGTATTAATATCTTTCAAGAAATATATATATTAATCTCAAAATTTTGAACTGAACATTTAACAGTTTGACTTCCTGTGCTTTTTCTTAATGTAAGATAACCTGACTGTTTTTGCATGTACATGGTGCTACTTTTATAAGTTTGCAGCTCGTTTCAACTCTCTGTGAAAGCTCCTCGTGAAGGATGACGAATCCTATACAGTTGTTTTACTTTCTAGATGTCATATTTCAGATGATGTATGTAGTCCAACAGCTGTGTGTGTTTTAGGGGGGTGTGAGTGTATTTGTTTGAGTGCGTGTGTGGTTGAGGATCAGAGGCTCTGGCAGAGCTCTCCCAGGCTCTCGATGTGTGTAAATGAATTATGAGATGATCCATCAGCAACAAAGAGCTCCACTGACATCAGCATCTTCACACTCTTGAATTTCTTTCCCATCTCTCGACTTCTTGCTCTCTCGATTCTGAAGCAAGTTGAAGGTGATGGAAAACCATAACCATGTGCCTCTGTTTTTGTTTTTCTCTCTCAGTGACAGGCACCATGTCTCCATGTCCATCCCCGTCCCACTGAAGTCTCATTTCAGCGTTTCCACCGCATCCGAAGTGGGGTTTCCGAACCTTTCCAGCTCCCCTGAACGGGACGTCCAGAAGTGGGCCAGCTCAGATGCGGATAAACAGAAATGCCAAACCCCTCCACCTAGTTACAACACAGCCATGACTGAGCCTGATCCCATGACCACTCCGGAAGTCCCATCAGTGCCATCCACAGAGATTGCGAGCATTGAAGAAGGTAAGACTGTGGATACACATGGGGATGGAGAGACTGTGTCCGAGGCACATACGGAAAAGCCTCTGGAAATACCTACGGACATAGCCAGTACATTACCGTCTGACTCTGTCCCTCAGCACTCAGGAGCCATGAACGGCTCGGTCGTGCCCAGCGAGGGTATAGGTTTGGGTGTTGCGGGCGCAGCCGAACTGTGCTGCTCCGTGGAGCAGGCGGAGGAAATTATGGGCACTGAAGCCACAGGGCTGGGATTGGGACTAGGATTTGGGTTGGGATTGGGAGGTGGCGCCAGACTGGATGATTTCCCGTGTATCCCCGTGGAGCACGCGGTTGCGGTTGAGTGTGACGAACAGGTTTTGGGAGAGTTCGACGCTGCTGGGATCGAGGAGGTCTCGCGGCGCATCTATGCACTAGAAAACATGTCTAGTTTCCGACGGCCCCGGAAGAACTCAGAAAAATGACTGGGATATGGGACATGGGCCTGGAGAAACGGGTCGGAGGGTGACTGGTGTCCAAGTTGGTCAGTGACGGTTGAGCCTGTGTAATATTTCATCCTGACTGCAACAAGTATAGACATTACATAAAGAAATATATTATTATTAATATTGTTATAATAATTATTAATATCATTAGGAAAAATCTGGAATATTGACCAATTTGCACTTCTCGAAGCATTTCTATAATCCCTTAAAGTGAAATAAAGAGAATGTTTGGTTGAAATGCTTGCTGGATGTCTTTCTGGGGTGTATGGCTGTGCAGTCTTAATTAATTCTACCCCCAAAAAATGACAATTCTGTCATTATTTACTCACTTTCATGTCTTTCCAAACCCGTTTGAAAGCAAAGAAATTAAGACAGCCATAAATATTAGTTTTATAATTTTACTGCTGTTCTGTAAAATAAAATAATAATAATTATTATTAAATTTTTATTTTTATTTTTTTTATAACAGTTCCATAGTATTATTACTATAGTACATTTTAAGTTTTCTTTATTTGTTTGTTTAATTTGTGTTATTTTAAAAATGATGTAACTGAAGTAGATTTTTTTTTTATTTAAAAAAAAAAAATATATATATATATATATAAATAACATATATGTATGTATATATATATATATATATATATATATATATATATATATATATATATATATAGAGCTCATTTGCAA